AGATAACCGTTGACCCAGAGAAAATCGTATAGTACGATTAAAACTCATACATCACGATCGACAGAAAATTAAAATATTTAAAATCTTTATTTTTGCTCTCCTTGTGTTTGTGCATGATCATCAATGTAACATACATCATTACAAGACTTGACTCAAGAAATGAAAATTACAGACTCATTTAATATAATCAATTTTATATAATCTTGAGTCTTGAATCTTTAAAGAACGATGCATGGTGTATATGAAATATTAGTCAACACAAATAAATATACATTATAAATAATAGAAGAAATAAAAGATTAATTAATATTATTTGTTATCATCAAAATTATAAACTCGGAAGCCCGAGTTGCAACAATCTCTTCCTTTTTTATGATGACAAATAATATTAGTTGAATTTGTAAATTGAAAAAAATTTCTCATAAACTCCCTCTCACTAAAAGAACTACGTTAAAAATAGGGGAAAGTATTATTATTTTTTTAATTTTTAAAGCTAAATAATAAAAAAAATATAAATACAACCAACTATAATACATTCTTCCTCTTTGACATTATCAAAAAGAAGAGATAAAGTAACACATAAAAATAACAACATAATAAAGAAACAAAAATATAAATTATTCTTAAAATATAAAAAATATATATAATAAAAATTAAATACACAAAACAGATAAATAAACACACAAAAACACATAAACAGAACAGAGAAACAAATCTTAACATGCTTATACCTCATCATCTTGCTCATGTTATGATGATTTAGAAATTATGTCTACCTAGGAGATTTTTTATTTTTTATATTTTTCTCATATTACAATCGGTTTATTCTTACTCTTTTTCGTTGCAGGAAGAGTTTTTAAGTTGGACATTCAAATTTCAGATGTCAGGATTTCCTATACCCAAAGCAAATAACGTTAGAAAAAAAACTTAACATTTTTACCTTTACTCCACTTTTGTTGATATTTATGATTGTGCTTCAATAAACTTTCGAATTTATATGTTATCAATGTTATCTCCTTGCTCTCATCTTCTACTAAGCCACATTCATTTATGTCTTTGACTTTTAGCACTATAGTCTTCTCATCACCTGCATCCATAAGTCTTTGACTCACACTTTGCTCGTAGGCAATGAGTGAGCCTATTAGATTATCTATAGAATAAGTATTGAAATCTTTTGATTCATATCTAACCATGACTTTGACATCAAATTTATCAAGGAGAGAATGTAGAATTGTTTTAACCTTTTTAAAATTCGAAAGTATTCAAAAACTCGTATTGTACGATACGATCGTACAATATGATCAATTTAAAATTTACGAATTAAGAACTTACTTAAATTAATCTGGCGGCTAGGGGTTTTAAGTATAAACACATCGTACATTATGATAGATATCGTACAATATGATTTGTTCACAGATACCTGTTGAGCCAGAGCAGATCGTATAGTACGATTGAAACTCGTACAGTACGATCGACAGAAAAATTAAAATATTTAAAATTTTTGCTCCCCCTGTGTGTGTGCATGATCACCAATCTAACATACATCATTACAAAAGTTGACTCAAGAATTAAAAATTACATACTCATTTAATATAATCAATTCTACACAGTCTCGAGTCTTGAATCTTCACATACTCTGCCCAGGCTAGCCATTTAGCCAACATCTTTGGGGTATCCAAGACAAAGTAACGAAGATAAGTCTCAACACTGTGATTTACCACCCTCTTCTGACCATTTATTTGAGGGTTAAAAGCAGTACTCCACTTCAGGATAATCTCCTACATCTTGAATAACTCCCTCCAAAAATGTCTCAAAAAGAATTTATCCCTATCATATACTATAGACTTGGGTATGCCATTCAAATAGACCACCTCTTTAATGAAAGTGGATGCCACTGACACCGCAGTGTATGGGTGGCATAGGGGAGTGAAATGAATATATTTGCTCAATTTTTCCACCACAATTAGAATCTCAGTGAATCCTTCTAACTTAGGCATTCCCTCAATGAAGTTCATAGTCATCTCTTCCCATATATTCTTGGGTAAAGCTAAAGGCTGTAAAAGACCACTAGGATCCATAGCCTGGTACTTGTGTCTATACATACATCACAAATGACTACCATCTTCTCCGCATCCTTCTGCATTCCCACCAAGTATAGTTTCGCTTTCAATCAATAATATCTTTTGGATTCCCGAATGTCCCCCAATAGCTATGCCATAAAACTCGTGTAATAAGTGAGGGATGGGTGGTGATGTCCTTGATAGCACAAATTGTCCATGGTATAGCAACTTATGACCCACCAAGGAATAACCAGGATGACTATCCATTTTCTGTAGTAAATCACCTCTAATTTTACTTGGCTCTTCATTATGCTCGCTCTCTTACTCCTTATAATCCACCACCATGGGGACTAATAGAGCCATAACCTAGGGATCTTCATTATTTCTTGAGAGAGAGATGCCACTTTATTTTCTAACATGGGCTTATATAGGGTCTCAAAGTCAAACCCCAACAGCTTGGAAAGTCACCACTGATGCTCGTCTGTCATCATCCTCTGCTCCAACAAAAACTTCAAACTCCTCTGATCGGTACTAACTATGAAGGGCTGCCCCAATAGGTAAGGCCGCCACTTCTGAATTTCTAATTAAATCTCATGCAGTCCCCTTTCATATACTGATTTCAATTTAGCCCTGATAGTCACCCCTTGGCTAAAATAAGCTATAAGCCTCTGCCTTTGCATGAGAACTGCTCCCAACCCATAGCCTAATGCATCAGTCTCTAGTGCAAATGGTTGGCTAAAACATTATAGTGCTAACACAGGAACACTAGTCATGGCTTTCTTTAGCTGCTCAAATGTCTGAGTGGCTGCCTCCCCCCATTTGAAATTATCCTTCGTTAGGCTCATCCATCGCATTTATCACGCTCGTGCTCGTTGCTCTTGCTCGCTCACCTATTGCACTCAAACAAGTCAACTGGTTGGGTTAGCGCCGGGTCGGGTTCGGGTATAGACATAATGCATTTACCTAATCAGGTTGGGTTTGAGCCAGATGAGTTGAAACCGGGTTAATTCTGGGTTGGACCCGAACCTGACCCAAAAAATCATTTTGACACCCCTACTTGTAGCAAACCAATGAACACTAAAGTCCAACTCCTAAGATCTACCAACCAATCTCCTTTGATGTTTCTCAAGATCCCATGATTAAATAATGTCTACTAACATCCAATTCGAAACCTCCACTATTGTACAACCCTTTATTCCCTCCATCACCTTTCATTGATGCCCATTGACCCACAACATTGAAAGTTTGTCAACCAACATCACCTGATATTCACAATTCACCAATATCACTCGACATCTATTACAGTCCAACTCCCAACGCTTTCCAGCATCTAAGTATAGACAACTATCATCACCATTTGCCAATGCACGTTGATCCATAAAATTGGATATCCTCTAACCAATATTTTTCAATATTCATACTCCATCGATAATGTCCAAACTACATCGCAATTGGCTAATATCTAACTCCAGTCACCGAGTATTTTGAATTTAAATTATATTTTATTATTTGCCATCAAAATCAATCATGTTTTCTTAAGGGTGTCAATTTCAGGTCACGAGTCGGGTTCGGGTCGAACCCGAAACTGACCCGACACTATTCAGGTCAACCTGAACCCGATCCGTTTGCAAACGGGTCAATTTTTCGGACTCAAATCTGACCCGCTTCAAGTTTGGGTCAACTCGACATGAACCGAATGACCCGGTGCCAATAGAAAATGCTAGTTTTCGGGTCCAAAAACAGGAATCTATGCTTTTCGTGTCAAAAATCGGTCAATCTCGGGTTGCCGGGTCAAAAATGGGTTTTCGAGTAAAAAGACGAGTCAATTTCGAGTCAAAGGGTCAATCCGACCTGATTTTTGAAACGGGTCGAATTATTGAACCCGAATGTAACCCGTTTCGGATTTGACTTGACCATAACTTGAAATTTTCGGGTCGTATTTTGACACCCCTAATTTTTTCAATGGAGCATATCGGCTAGCAGGTCAACATTGGTCATCAATTCTTTCATCATTAGGTTCATTCCATGCAATTTCCTCATGTTGCCGTCAGGTCGGAGCCATAGGCTTATGCAATTCAATTTATCTCAAACAGTTTCTTCTCTTTGGCTATCAGTTGTTTACCCGTTAGCTAATAATCATCAAGCTTAATCCCCTCAACTGCTCTACACAATTATTGTTCAATGGCCCATAATCATTAGCAACCGCAGCTTGCGGGAATTTTTTTTTGGAAACATTTAGGACAATTAAGGCAGACTCACATACACGTCGTATATACAAGACTCAAATCCAAGACCTCTTAGTTCATAGCTTAAGCTCCCAACCAACAGATCAAGGTGAGTTGTGTGGTTGCATGATTTCTAGGAAGCTATATAAAAAAAAAACAAAGAAGTGAACATTTTGGCTTGGTTTCAGTTTTGAGATCTACAATTTATGTACAAATTGAAATGTAGCATTAGTAACCATGGGGAAAAAAAAAACATTTCTCAACAGATATTATCAAAAATATCATTCTTCAATAAGACATTGATACAGAGGAAGAGAGCAAAACCTTGTGCTGATTACAATCAATTTTGAAATGAAAACTAAGCTGAAACCAAACCAAAATGTTCTGATCCATTTCTGTTATAATGGTTCGAATTCAGTTTGATATTTATAAATTCAGCTCGGTTCAATTCAACTCAAAAAACAAAAGGTCCAGTTGATATCAAAATGGCTTCTATTTCTATAACAATTACTGTACAACTGTATTTGATTGAATTCAAGATGAATATGTACAATTTAAGCTACATGAAGCATGCATCACTTTGCCTATTTACACAAACTTTCAGAAAGATGTTGCTCCAAAGAGTAAAAAGTAAAATAATCCAGAAAAATTGGCCGTTAAACTCATCCTAGACTATTTATATTAGATGGCAATGGATCCTTTGCTGTGCATAATAATTCTTTGCTGTGCATAATAATTGTGAAGAATCTCAACCATTCTCTTGCTCTTTCGATCATAACTCCATGCCTTTAAACTGCAACAGAGTAACAAGACAATATTCATCAAGATTAGGCATCAAGAAGTAATAATCGAAGGTTTAAATTGTCTAAATACTAGAAGTTTTACATAAAAAGCTCATCAAATATGGATAATCATATTCTTAGGAGGATTAGAAGGTGTCAGACTTGTAGTTTTCAAATTAGAAACTGCATATTGAGGAGAAATTATTAGGTGAGCACAAATACTCATCACTTGATGAGGATATCTTCATACCGTCAGTGTTAATATTAGTATTCTAAGGTCTGGAAAATTTGTCAGGCTATTTTTATCTTGTTCTCTCGAACTTAAGGAGTAAGACATCGATTACTAGTACATATTGTGCTCTATATTATTCTGTATAGGTTTCACATCAATTTATTATTTAATAGAGATCAATATAGTACAATAGAGAAAACAAATACTGAACCAACGCGCAAAACCCCCTCTCTTGCTCAATATTTACACAATAATCTCGCAGTGATGAGAGAACATCCATCCAACATGAATGTCAGAATGCGATTTAGGCTTCATATGTGACGACTATCTTGCTGTTTCTTTAAGCAGCTTTCTAGTTCAATAATTAAATTTTTTGTATTAAAAAGTTGCTTTAAGAAGCAACAAAAAAGCCATCCCAAACAAAACCTTAATTAATGAAGTTCGGGCTATTCAGCTAGTAAAAAAATGGAAAAGTTTTTTTAATAGAGCAATGGTAAAGGAGTAATGATATCATAATGCTCCATTTGTATATGATTGGTGCATATATTAGCAATAAAAAGAATTGAATATAACAATTGAATTTTTCTATATTACCTGAAATTCCAGATAAGGATGACAACTGTCTCCTTCTCCATAAGACCATCATTCTTTACTAGCTTAATGCAATTTTATGGTAGTTGAAGTCATTATTGTAAACAGACACCTGCATCATACAATTCTTGGTCAGAGATTGAAGAAAAATAAATACCTTTGAAAATGACATTTACTAATTATTTAGTCCAAGAGAAGACCACTATAACACGTTGCCATCTATTTTTGAAACAAAGTTTCCCAATGAATGTGGACACTTAACGGTTAAAAACCTCAAAGTAAACTAATTGAAAATTTTAGTCCTTCGGCATTACAAGTTATTCAAGCGTGAAGGGGTAAGCAACCTCCCAATTTCCACCAAAACCACAAACCAGTTACCTTCAGCCAAATAATCCACACTAAGGAAAATGTTGTCGCACTAACGAGTATCCATCAAGAAACATAAGAGTATTGTATTTAGTATCACATCTAATAGTTAAAGGAATATGTTGATGCATACTACTAACTGCTTCATACTCATCAATAATCTCAATAAAATTAACATAAAAACTAAAAAAAAAATACACTCAATATTTTTCATTACAATGAAATAAAGATAAAAAATAACAAATAAAATTATTTATTATAAAAATTATCTTGCTCCTATTGTATGTGAAGTCAGTTACTATACTCATAGAAACAAGGTAAAGAGGAAATTAGATTTTGTAAGAATTTTAAGAAAAGAATGTATATTCTTAAAATAACTTCATTTTTAACTGTATCCATTAACTTTATCTTCAATTTCCATCACTTTTGACTTCAAATTTATTTTGGCTCCTATTTTTAAGGATTAAATCAAACTTATTATATAGTCTGGATTAAAATAGCCCCCCATAAATAGAATGTTGTTGTGGGACTATTATGACACCTATTTAAGGAGTGTAGAGGTAAAATAAGATGTTTAATATAGTCTGAGATTAAAATAGCCCCCCATAAATAATAGGTGGACCATTTTGATCATTTTCTTAAAAAAAAAAACTTTAATCAATGATATATCATACCCCCATTACAATCAAGTTTCTAAAACCCATTTTCTGTTTAATTTTTTATCCCACTGTAATTTCTTGTGTTTTGATAGTTCTTGTAATTTTGAGTTTCTATTTTGGTTGTAGTTTCAATCACTTTGATATGATAAAATTTTACAAAATATATTGAAGGTATGAAATAAAAATGCTTATCAAAGTCGAGTTCAATTTGAAATACAAAACTAAATGAAACTCTTCATAATGATTTCCAACAGGTTTCAATCAAAATCAAACCTAAACCACTAAAACCATGGAAAATTATAACCACTACCACAATCACCTTAGGCCTGCACTCATGAATGCGTGGCTGATCCAACAAAAAATACATAAAGGGGTCATTCTAAACTTAAATTATCCAAAAACTCCTCAATTTTTGGATTCCATCGTCTTTAATATGTAGAACCATTAGTAGCAAAACAAAAGAATTTAATACATCAAAACCAATTTTAGTGTAATGGCAAAAGGTGTTCAACTTTCTTCAATTAGTTTTATTTCTAATTTGCTCTTTAAACTAGATTACAACATACAAGGGTAAGAATTTGAATTTCTCTGTTTAGTTCGAGCTCAATTTAAATGACTAGTAAATTGAAAAAAACTCAAGTTCCTGTGTTATGATTAATCAGAATCATAGTCAATTAACAGACAGATAGGCATAAATTAGTCAATAAGAACCACTACAATTTCACAATGGATGATTAAACTCTGATGAAATGGAGGAAACATGAAGGAAATTCAATTCGTTCATACCGCCTCAATGTCGATTTTGTAAACAAGCAGCTTTCGTCTCTCCCTGCAACTGGTCCTATAAGCCGCCACCAGGTGAGCCATGGCCAAAGCAAAAGAGCTCAAGAACAGAGCCTCCACCGCCGGCCGCCCCTCCTTCTCCCCAAACGACAATATATGGCGTCTCCCGGTTCCTGCTTCAGCTCCAAACATGGCGACCGCTTTAAGCATCACATACCCCGCCGACACCACAGCAAATACTGTCGCCAATCCTAAATACGGCCCCTTCCCACTCCAACACATATAGAAACCTGCAAAAAAACCCAAATTCACTCAGAGAAATTTCATCAAACATAAAGTGGCCACTATCACATCTTCAAAACATACATAGTAGAAGAAGCGATCTTGCAGCAGAAAGCAACGGCAAGTCAACGAAAGAAGCCCCAAATCGATAGCTTCTGAGCTGAACAGACAACATCGGGGCCCCTGAGCCGCCGGCCGCGGCGGCCAGGAGGGCGGAAGGGATGAGAAGATCCAGAAAGACGACGAGAAGCGGAGGAGCACAGACGAAGAAGAGGGAAGCGAGCATGTTGGCAACGAAAAAAATAGTTTTTACCCATCTCCAAGCTCGGCTCCACAGCTTCTCCTTACTCGAAACCATGATCGTGGCACTGTTCGAATCCCAGTGGGCATCGACTGAAGATGAGATGGGAGGAGCAAGGAGAGTGAGACGAAAGCTACTTGTAGAAGGGATGCGTTTGGCTTAGATTTTCCTCTCCGTACTTTCAACGGAAAGTCAGCGTGGAAAAGGAGGAGTTTTGGGTTCCGAATCCTTGCCAAAGCGTGATGGATCTTTAATGTAGCCGACGAGACTGAGAAGGATGAAGGCGACCACCAAACCCTCTAGTGGGATCTATTGAAGACAAGACGGCCTATATAGCGGAAAATTGAATTGCCGCGTGTCGAAGATTTTTTTTTTTTACATATACACGTGGAAAATGAAGGCTGGCTTCTCGAATGATATTCTTTTCTGGAAAATCTAAAATAATAATAATTGATTTGGACAAACAATTTTATTATTATTTATTAATTCCCTTACAAGCTTTCTAAAGAATAACAAAATACGGAGTTTGAGAAAATAATTTTATTTGAACGTTTTAGTTTTGGTAAAATATCTACGCTCACATTGTTGGACAGAGTTCCTTTCATACTCAATCTAATTTGCATGGAGATTTATAGGGGTGTTAATATTTGATCCGACCCGAATATCCGACTCGAACTCGACCTGAAAATTTTGGATTCGGTTTGACCCGAACCCGAACCGGGTCGGATTCGGGTTAGGGATTTCGACCTGTTTGTAAAACCGGGTCGGGTTTGGGTTGACCTGGAAACCCGAAATCAACCCGGTTTAATCCGTTTTTAATTAATTTAGGAGGGTTTTAATGGATTTTTATGAAATAAGTAAATGATATTTCAAATTAAATTAATCTTGATTTATTTTAAATTAATTGAAGTAAATCTTATCTTAATTTGATTTAGATTTAAATAAATTGAATTAAATAAAAAAGTTTAATAAAATACCCTAATTGGGTAGGGTTCTGGTTGACCCGGACCCGAAGCGGGTCGGGTTCGGGTTCGAAAAACCGACTCGTTTGCAAAAACGGGTCGGGTTGAACAGTGTCTGGTCAATTTTAGGTTGGACCCGAACCCGACCCGTGACCCGGTTTTGACAACCCTAGAGATTTGTGCTGTTTATACTAAAATATGTAGGCGATTTTTTTTTATTTCTTTTATTTAAATATTAGAAATTAAGTCAAATTTAATTTATATTGTGATGCATAATTATGCATGTTGCCTTAATTTTTTTTTTTTTTTTAAATCAAAGTGAGTAGCAAATACTGGGGAGTAACAAGCCTCTCTTTTAAAGATGGATAAACTTACTACATAATTGATTAAACATAAAAAATAAAAATTGTATGACTAAAATCAATCTTATGAATAATAAATTGACAAATGATTATAAACTTTAAAATCTATTTTATCCCTTTTTTATGGAGTTGCATTACAAGTTCATTAGAAATCATATTAAATTGGTTCTTTTAAATGTATGGCACTACACAATCATTGAGCTGGTCATAACTTATTCTATTGTGCGTTCGATGCTTGACAATTCTCATTACAAAAAATGCTCTCTTTCATTATAATAGTGGCAACTAATAAGTTTAATGTCAAGATAATAAACCTATAAACTATGAGATATATGCCATCTTTTTTTTTTTTTTTACTTTAATAGTTTATTGTGGAAGATCAATAATGTTACTAAAAATAAAAGCTTGTCATTTGTACCCATAACAATAATATAAATGAATAGCTAGTGTTCAAAAGCCACAAGCTCAACCATAAAAAAAATAATTGAATATAACTCCATAAGATAAATTAGTTTCCTTTATTATAAGAAGAAAATGAATTGCTAGGATTTATTCATGACAAACAAAGAAGCTAGTACTTTAGAAAATGGCAAGTATTCTATGATGTATCTGAAAATCTCTATGAAAGTGGCATGACAATTAAGTGATACCTTTGAAAATAAGTATGCATAGAAATCTTATGAAATCATGTTTTACTAGTACTTCATTTATTCTTCATACATTACTATTTTTTTATTATATTGCAATTTAGCATTTTAATTTAAATTTTGATATATTTGATGGGTTAGGAGAAAAAGTTTATTGATCTGATTATGCTCACTCGATTCTTTCTGATATTTAAAGGAAAGGGAAGGGGTCGATAGAGTAAAAAGTATAGAAATAGGATATTCTTATTAGGGAATGTGCCCTAAAGAAATATTATTGTAATATATTTTCTATGGAAATAAATATTTAAAGACAAGTTTAGCATGTTTCGATATTATCATTTGATATAATATTTTTATTCCATGATTATTTATGTAACCATAATTTAGTATATAATTATATACAAGAGGATTGAATTATGGATAATAATCAAAACAAGTTCATAATTATTAATTATAGTTGGAATCTATAATTAAATATTATTAGTACGGTCCATCAACATTAAGAATGGAATAATCTTATCCGGATTATTCGATATGGAGATATTAAGAATTGAGGTACTTTATATAATATGATTATATA